GAGGACAGAGCCCTGCTACTGACGGATTACATTAGAGCCTGTTTGTACTACTACATTGTATTGTTTTTTAAACTGCTTTTTATTAAAGTTGACCTGGAATACTGCACTTAGAAGCACCTTCCTGTTCACCTTCTTCTGCACAGAGTTTGTCTACACTCTTTAGAAGTGCGGCTCAGTACCGGTTTTCCTACGCACCATCCATCATCAGCTGCCATACTTCCATAGCATCGTCCACCGACACGCCCTACTACCTAACTTAAATATAGAAACAGTGCAGTCTAGGTAAATGTGAAGCCTTTACATTTTAATCTAGCTAATTTCAGCCAGGTTTTGCTCCAGTGTTTGCTAGGAGTTCCTTGAGCTGTAGCTGATTAACCTCCCATCTGATGGTGCCTGCATAGTTCCAGGGCCAATGCCACTTGAAAGAGCCAGTTGCATGATACCAATGATCTTTTTTAGCTGTCTGCAGGGGCGGTATTCTGTCCACCACTACCAAAAATGTAAGGGGCATTTTTCCCACTGACCCCATATGCATTTGCTTTAGCAGGGCTTCCCCAAGACCCAAAAGATTTCCTCTGGGTCTAAAAGGCTAGGTAGGGTGTCTTAATCACATCTATATTTGTTTTTCAAAAGTTGTCTCGCTGATGTATTAGTTTACAGGGATGAGAAAAAAACATTTAACATGTACAGGGCTGCTTACAATGATCAACTTTTATTTACAGGTGAAACTCAAAAAATTAGAATATCGTGCAAAAGTTCATTTATTTCAGTAATGCAACTTAAAAGGTGAAACTAATACATGCAAAGCAAGATAGTTCAAGCCGTGATTTGTCATAATTGTGATGATTATGGCTTACAGCTCATGAAAACCCCAAATCCACTATCTTAGAAAATTAGAATATTACATGCAATCAATAAAACAAGGATTGTACATATTACAATATCGGACCTCTGAAAAGTATAAGCATGCATATGTACTCAGTACTTGGTTTGGGCCCCTTTTTCAGCAATTACTGCCTCAATGCGGCGTGGCATGGAAGCTATCAGCCTGTGGCACTGCTGAGGTGTTATGGAATACCAGGATGCTTCAATAGCGGCCTTTAGCTCTCATTTAACACTCCCCCCCCCGACTGACAATGCTGCTGTCAGAAGGTGCCCCCTGTGCGCCTTCATCCAGAATGGGGGCACTATAATACAGGAGGTGTGTTACTCACCAGATCACCAGGTGACAAAAAAGGAGGGAAAGCCTAAAAAATAGAAAATTAATGCAGCCACCACATCTAACGATTGGTAAGGTGCAATATATTACATTTTTGGTTTTGGGTTTAATATAACGTATTAACATAGTTGGATGAGTTAGGAAATGGAAATATCTTGATGCCTTTTTGTGACCCAGTTAAAAAAGTGTTATTGACTGGCTTGCTAGTTAGATTGGTCATCTTTCTTTCTCCTGGTCTCAGTGAATTGATAAGTGATCTGGATGCCTTGTATAAGTAATTTAAAACACTTTACCCAGCTTGTCTTTTTTTAAAATCACTAGAATGGAGCCTGTTTCACCACTTTAACATGCCAACAAGCCAAGTATGCTGAAATGGATCTGTTTTTTCCTTTATGAGCAATTCTTTTCATTCACCTAAAAAGTGTGTCAGTTGTGTTTCTCTAGAATAGACTAACATTTCTTGTTAAAGAATATGAAATGTGAGAAATGTAGAACAGCCTATTAGGTTGTGTGCTAAAAATTCTAGCTGTTGGTTCATATGATATCCTGATATTGAAGAATGGAAAGTGTCTTATAGCATGCAATGTGGCTGCATTACAATTATAAATAAGAGATTGTGTGTTTTATAAAGGAAATGTCTGCAGTGCAGTTACAAATTAGTAACAATGTGGAGGTGTAACTGATTGTTAATTTCAGTGCACTTGTCCTCGTAGGGGTCATGGGTTCGCTAGACTGAGCAAGCCCTGACTTCTCTCTGCCCTCGTACTGACTCTGGCTTTTCCTGGATGAGTACAGTACAGTCCCAGGCCAACTGGAAATTCTTATCCCTCCAGTATATTCTGGATCTGCTCTAGGGACTTATTTAACCTTGAAGAAAAACCTCTTATTATCTCATGTAGCATTTTTCCACTACTTAAAAATATGACTGCAATATGTACCTGAAGTCTTTTACAGAAGAAGACACAACCCCTTCCATACAGACTTGGGGGTCAACACTCCAGTGTTTTCTGAGATACAAAACTACAAAAAAAAGAATGTTTATCAGTATAGACTACAGTGTTATATTTTTACAGATCTGAATGCATACGTGTTGTTTTCTATGGACCCATGCACACAGCTTTGTAAAGATCAGTAAACTTGCATGGCATTACAAACGACAACAACATTTCCCAGCATATTTACCAGCTATCCTGCAAAAACAAAAAACAAAAAGCAAAAAAACAAAAACAAATAAGGCCTGTCTAATAGTTCATGAGAAAGGCAGAGGGTTTATTTGAACACATTTCCAAATATATGTGAAAGCTGCAGTGCCTACGCCAAGGCTCCTCTGTGTACTGTGGTCCTAACTCTATAGTTTTGAAAGTCTCCAAGTTGGAACATAAATTCAATTAATTAAATTGGATAAATTAAGGGCAGGTTTGCCCGGAGGGAGCCCACTCCTCCTTAAAGGCCCAGAAACATAATGGACGCCCAGCAAAAAGCACAATGGCAGCTGAAAGCCTCCAATGTGTCCTCACGCACAATTCAGCTGAAAAGCTGTACAGATAAGTGGCAAGCACTCCAATCTTTAACTAGCCTTTACAGTAAGATGCACACAACTAAAGCACACTTACCGATTCTTACTAATTAGCTTGCAAAAAAAAAAATAACCTGTCTAACAGTTTATGTCAAAGACAGAGGATTTAGTTGCATAGATTTGAAAATATATGTGAAAGCCACAGTGCCTCATCAAGGCTCCTTTGTATACTGTGGCCCTAAATCTAGACTGGAGGACAGCCACACTTCCCCTTTTGGGTGAAGTTCTGCTTTAATCCCTTCCTACTTAAATATGCAGCCCCACTGGACTGTGCTTTTCTAGTAGTGTCAGTAGTATCTGTAAGTTTCAGTGTGTTTTAGGTACGATAAAAAAAGCAAAATGTGTACTATTGTTTCTGGGCCATACTACAGGTACAAACAACAAATAACATACATATATGTGGTATTGCTGCAATCGTCAGGAGCAGGAGAATTTATTTTGGGTTGTTCTTTGTGGTAGGTTATGGTAGTAGCAAAAAATGTACAGCTACATTTTAAAACAAATATTTTTTTATACTATTTTGGGCCAGTTTTCCTTTGATAATTTTGATATATTAGAAAAAAATCAGAAGATATACATTACTATTTACCACCAAATGAAAGCCAAATTTGTCCTGAAAGAACAAGGTATAATCCACTTGGATGCACAAAGTAGTTGTGATGATAAGTATGTTTTACTAATTAATTTCAAAGTTGCAAAATTGTGCTTAGGCATTAAAGTTTGTTTTACCCTTCTCACAGGACACAGAGGCAGCAGTGGGAGCCATTGGCTCTTGCTGCTGTAAATCAAATCATGTGAGGAGGAAACAGGGGGTGTGGCTGAGCTGTGCTATGTGTGTTTGTGGACATACACAGCCCAGCTTAGAAGTGAGCCTGTACGTCTCCCCCAAACTGTCTTGCTATGGTGGCACAAGCCGAAAAGGAGGAGCCTAGTGTGCCAGCGGTGGACCCTAGAAGAGGAGGTTGTGGGCCACTCTGTGCAGTACCATTGCACAGAGCAGGTAGGTATAACATGTTTGTTATTTTAGAAAAAACTTTTACAACCACTTTAAGGCTGGCCATGCAGTAGATGCCATGCAAGGTGGATGGAGGAATCCTTGCCACTGTGCAATTGTATTCTGACAGCAGGGACTCCTCTTCTGTCAGAATTCTGACAGCAGGGACTCCTCTTCTGTCAGAATACACCAGTCAGTGTCTGCAGCATATTAGAACCTCTGTGTCCATGATGGGGAAAAAAAAAACCTGTCAGGCGTTTTAATGATTCCCCACTCTATCCAAAAACAATAAAATTTTGGTTTAAGGTATACTTTAATAGCTTGATACCACAACTTTGCTGCCTTGAAGTAGCCACATACACTATATTGCCAAAAGTATTGGGACGCCTGCCTTTACATGCACATGAACTTTTATGGCATCTCAGTCTTAGTCCGTAGGGTTCAATATTGAGTTGGCCTCCCTTTACAGCTACAACAGCTTCAACTCTTCTGGGAAGGCTGTCTACAAGGTTTAGGAGTGTGCCTGTGGGAATGTTTGACCATTCTTCCAGAAGCGCATTTGTGAGGCACTGATGTCAGATGAGAAAGTCTGGCTCGCAATCTCCGCTCTAATTCATCCCAAAGGTGTTCTATCGGGTTGAGGTCAGGACTCTGTGCAGTCCAGTCAAGTTCCTAGTTCCTCTCCCCAAACTCACTCATTCATCTCTCTATGGACCTTGCTTTGTGCACTGGTGCGCAGTCATTTTGGAACAGGAAGGGGACATCCCCAAACTGTTCCCACAAAGTTGGAAGCTTGAAACTGTTCAAATTGTCTTGGTATGCTGACGCCTTAAGAATTCCCTTCACTGGAACTAAGGGGCCAAGCCCAACCCCTGAAAAACAACCCCACACCATAATCCCCCCTCCACTAAACTTTACACTTGGCACAATGCAGTCAGGCAAATACTGTTTTCCTGGTAACCGCCAAACCCAGACACATCCATAGGATTGCAAGACAGAAAAGCATGATTCATCACTCCAGAGAACACATCTCCACTGCTCTAGAGTCCAGTAATGGCGTGCTTTACACCAATGCATCCGACGCTTTGCATTGCACTTGGTGATGTAAGGCTTGAATGCAGCTCATCGGCTATGGAAACCCATTCCATGAAGCTCTCTATGCACTGTTGTTGTACTAATCTAATGGCCATATGAAGTTTGGAGGTCCTTAGCTATTGACTCTACAGACAGTTGGCGACTTCTGTGCACTGTGCGCTTCATGCGCTGACCCCACTCTATCATTTTACATGGCCTACTACTTCGTGGATGAGTTTCTGTTGCTCCCAGTTAGTTCCACTTTGTTATAATACCACTAACAGTTGACCGTGGAATATTTAGTAGCAAGGAAATTTCATGGATGGACTTATTGCACAGGTGGCAACCTATCACAGTACCACGCATGAATTCACTGAGCTCCTGAGAGCAACCCATTCTTTCACAAATGTTTGCAGAAGCAGTCTGCATGCTTGATTTTATACACCTGTAGCCATGGAGGTGATTGGAACACCTCAATCCAATGATTTGGAGGGGGTGTCCCAATACTTTTTGGCAATACAGTGTATGTATCAATATAATCATTCAATATTCAAAATAGTTTAGCTAGGGGGAGCTAGATACCAATGGTTAGTCAGGAGCTGAGTAGTAGCTCAGATGCCATAGCCAGAAGGGTCAAATTGTGGTCAGCACCTGGCCTGCATGCCAGCGCCTCTGGAAATTTCCCCTGCTCTGAGACCCTGAGCGAGGACCACCTGTATGGCAGGGAAGTAGCAGCCCAGCTGATAGGCATGGTAGCAGCAACCAACCCGCAAACGGTACAGGAGAGTATATGATTGAGTACACCTGCACCCCATGGATGGATAGAGGAAGGAACACTCTGGTGGGAAACCAGATTAACATGCAACTAGTGACTGTTCACCCATTTAAAGGGACAGGAACCAGATCCCCTGCTCAGGAAAAATCTCCAGATTGCTGGGTGAAGAGGAGCATTTGATCTAGGGTTTGGGATGGTATGTCAACAGAGACTGTGTTGGAGAAGAGAAGCTTTGTGAATAGTTCCAGAAAGCTTGTCCTCAGTTATTGGTTCCCTTGGGCATCCTATACCCCCCTTACCCTACCCCAATTCTAAATCCCTTCAATAAACAACAAAACAAAAGCTCAAGGACTGATTTCTGACTTCGAATGGAAGCTTTTGTGGAGAATGCAGATTGCCTGGCTGTGCTACAAATATATTAACATCAATGCAACTAAAGTGATCTAATTAAGTAAGAATTGTAAATCACAGACCTTTTGACCAATTTTCAACAGTGGCAAATCGATCAGCCATTGCAGAAGCTTTATTGATTATTTTTGTCATTTGAACAAATATCTGCATGTTTGTCTGACAATTATTCAAATCTATAAGGTGATCATTTTCAATAGATCATTTGTGGAAGATTGTTTTTTTAGTCCATACCATGTGTTGCTTCGTTCAATATTTTAATCAATGATGAATCACTTGCTTGCAATTGCTTGTACTTATATCGATCACAAATGTACACATACAGTATATGGTGCTCCTTTGCACCCTCTGGCCTTTTCACAAATCTGGCCTGGCAGGTTTGGCTTACCAGCTGCAATTATCCCTCCTGCTTCCTGACTTTCTGTAACTGCTCATGCCTGCACCTCTCCGGTGATGTGTCAATGTAGTGGAAGGTTTGCTGAAAGTCCCTTCTGAATTTGTAGCAGTTGTTTATGAACTGAATTATTCAGCAGTTAACCTATACCAGTGATGGCGAACCTTTTTGAGCCCGAGTGCCCAAACTGCAACCCAAAACCAACTTATTTCTTTCAAAGTGCCAACACTGCAATGAAACCTGAATATCGAGCTTTTGGTTTAGAAAAAACAACTCGTACAGTAGTGCAAACTAATTAACAGTACAGGGATGACCAGAGACTGCGGACACAGTACAGGGATGACCAGAGACTGCGGACACAGTACAGGGATGACCAGAGACTGCGGACACAGTACAGGGATGACCAGAGACTGCGGACAGTACAGGGATGACCAGAGACTGCGGACAGTACAGGGATGACCAGAGCCTGCGGACACAGTACAGGGATGACCAGAGACTGCGGACACAGTACAGGGATGACCAGAGACTGCGGACACAGTACAGGGATGACCAGAGACTGCGGACACAGTACAGGAGATGACCAGAGACTGCGGACAGTACAGGGATGACCAGAGACTGCGGACAGTACAGGGATGACCAGAGACTGCGGACACAGTACAGGGATGACCAGAGACTGCAGACACAGTACAGGGATGACCAGAGACTGCGGACAGTACAGGGATGACCAGAGACTGCGGACACAGTACAGGGATGACCAGAGACTGCGGACACAGTACAGGAGATGACCAGAGACTGCGGACAGTACAGGGATGACCAGAGACTGCGGACACAGTACAGGAGATGACCAGAGACTGCGGACACAGTACAGAGATGACCAGAGACTGCGGACACAGTACAGGGATGACCAGAGACTGCGGACAGTACAGGGATGACCAGAGACTGCGGACAGTACAGGAGATGACCAGAGACTGCGGACACAGTACAGGAGATGACCAGAGACTGCGGACACAGTACAGGAGATGACCAGAGACTGCGGACACAGTACAGGAGATGACCAGAGACTGCGGACACAGTACAGGAGATGACCAGAGACTGCGAACAGTACAGGAGATGACCAGAGACTGCGGACAGTACAGGGATGACCAGAGACTGCAGACAGTACAGGGATGACCAGAGACTGCGGACACAGTACAGGGATGACCAGAGACTGCAGACACAGTACAGGGATGACCAGAGACTGCAGACACAGTACAGGGATGACCAGAGACTGCAGACACAGTACAGGGATGACCAGAGACTGCAGACACATTACAGGGATGACCAGAGACTGCGGACAGTACAGGGATGACCAGAGACTGCGGACACAGTACAGGGATGACCAGAGACTGCGGACACAGTACAGGAGATGACCAGAGACTGCGGACAGTACAGGGATGACCAGAGACTGCGGACACAGTACAGGAGATGACCAGAGACTGCGGACACAGTACAGGGATGACCAGAGACTGCGGACAGTACAGGAGATGACCAGAGACTGCGGACAGTACAGGAGATGACCAGAGACTGCGGACACAGTACAGGAGATGACCAGAGACTGCGGACACAGTACAGGAGATGACCAGAGACTGCGAACAGTACAGGAGATGACCAGAGACTGCGGACAGTACAGGAGATGACCAGAGACTGCGGACAGTACAGGGATGACCAGAGACTGCGGACACAGTACAGGGATGACCAGAGACTGCGGACACAGTACAGGAGATGACCAGAGACTGCGGACACAGTACAGGGATGACCAGTGACTGCGGACAGTACAGGGATGACCAGAGACTGCGGAAAGTACAGGAGATGACCAGAGACTGCGGACAGTACAGGGATGACCAGAGACTGCGGACATAGTACAGGGATGACCAGTGACTGCGGACAGTACAGGGATGACCAGAGACTGCGGACAGTACAGGGATGACCAGAGACTGCGGACACAGTACAGGGATGACCAGAGACTGCGGACAGTACAGGGATGACCAGAGACTGCGGACACAGTACAGGGATGACCAGAGACTGCGAACACAGTACAGGGATGACCAGAGACTGCGGACACAGTACAGGAGATGACCAGAGACTGCGGACACAGTACAGGGATGACCAGAGACTGCGGACACAGTACAGGAGATGACCAGAGACTGCGGACAGCACAGGGATGAGCAGAGACTGCGGACACAGTACAGGGATGACCAGAGACTGCGGACAGCACAGGGATGACCAGAGACTGCGGACAGTACAGGAGATGACCAGAGACTGCGGACAGTACAGGGGATGACCAGAGACTGCGGACAGCACAGGGATGACCAGAGACTGCGGACAGCACAGGGATGACCAGAGACTGCGGACAGCACAGGGATGACCAGAGACTGCGGACAGTACAGAGATGACTGCTGACCTTTGGGGAGGGAGGGGGAGCGGGTACCTGAATTTGACAGGTACCCGCTCTTACTTCCGCAGAGTTTTTTTTTTATCTTACCTGTTCCTTTATCCAGCCGCGCGCTGTCTTCCCGGCTTCTGTAGTGTGGGCGCTCGTCGGACAGCCGGATGCCCAGTGCGCATGCGCGAGAAGCGCTGCGCTTTGTGATTGGTCCGGCGGCTTCTGGGATCTGTCATGTGTCCCAGGTACCGCCTTACTATTCACAAAGAGCACTGCTTCTTGTGCATGCGCACTTGGGACCCGGCTGTCACGCACACTACAGCCGGGAAGACAGCGCGCCGCTGGATTCTCCTGGCGTGCTCACAGATAAGGCTCGGCGTGCCGGCTGTGGCACGCGTGCCACGGGTTTGCCATCACTGACCTATACCAATAAGAACAAAATATAAGCATGCCCTTGGTAGTTATAAATGACTGTTAATTTTAAAGTGGAAGTAAATCTTAAAAACAAACATTTAGCAGCAGTTAGGGTCTCTAGGTATAGTAGGCTTTATAAGTCTCTTAAAAAAGAAAACCTCTTTCACTCACCTGCTAGAAAAGTGACTGAGTACTGTCCTGTGATTGATTGATTGATTTATATATATATATATATATATATATATATATATATATATATATATATATTATATTAATATTTTTTTTTTTTTGCACTAGCATCCATTACGGCTACAGTCAGCTTCAGCACTCACTTGCTGTCATTTTTATAAATCTGTACGCTGACTGTGACACATATATAGTACAATGTACAGCCCTGACATCTTACAGATGCCGGAAATGGAGTCAGGTGGCAAGATAGTATAACTCCAGCACATGTACACAGGCGTTGCATCATCAGTTCCAGGCCAGTGTGCGCAACAAGAAGATGGCAAACCCCAAAGAAGAGGAAGATAATAAGGCACTGGTGGGGACGACGTAAAAGCAGAAAGCTCTAATGTTAAATGAGAGCATATTCATAGATAAGTGTGTCATAATGTGCAGTTATGCTGCGTATACCTGCACAATATGGCAAATACTGGTTGGTCCAACCACGCTTGACTTTCTCCTTATCAGTCAACATATTGTTAGCTTTCCAAACAGCAAGTGAATCAAAGTAGCACATCTACCTTTATTTGTTTGTCTAATGAACCCCTCATGTGATTTGAAATGATAAAGGAATTTTTAAGATTTTATTCCACATATATAATCATCAGAATTTAAAGTTTAACTAAAGACAAAACTTTTTTTTGTTTGGGATAGAGAGGAGATGAATTAGAACCCCTGTCAGGTTTTTATTGCTCTCTCTGCCCTTGCTAAGGAGATTCACCCTCTCTGTTTTTCTTGCTTATCATTGAAATTGAAAGTGAAAGAAAATCACAAATGTTGGGTTGTCCCCAGAACAGTAATAAAGGGAAATCTTCCAATGGGGACACTGATTCTGGTGATCCCCAAGAAATTCCTTTAATTTTCAGGGATTCCCTCTCTCATCCTGTGTGGCTGTTAGACAGAAAATGAAGGGAAATCTCTGCAA